TATGAAAAGTTAATTTTCCATGCTCTGTGCTAAAAAAAACTGATATAATAATGTGTATCATTGTATGTTTTAACGAAAGTATTGGAGTACATACACGTTACATTGGCAGATCTTAGATAAACATAGCAACATGCTCAGAAATACGATACAGTAGTGACATGGGGGTTGGCTGGAGGAACCACTGAGCGTAGTGGGAGTCGAGACGATTGACGCTTCCTGAAGTGTCGGTTTCTGAAGAGACCCCAGGGAACAATTTCTCTTTATAACAGTAGTGTTCAGCAGTGTGAGGAAATAAGGCATTTACTCTATTCTTTGCAGCGACAACCTATATTTTGTGTTTCAGCTTAGTGACAGTCACTTTAAACAGCATTTTACTACTAAATAACAAATGCTTATTAACAATAAAGAATCTACATGTGATCCTTATTATAAACAGTTACATTTAACTTTTTTCAGCCTTTTCCCATGTGCCTCAACAAGCTTTGTAGCGTTTAAAAGAGAAGTTTAAATATGTGGCATAGTTTAACACATATGAACAATTGTAAAGTGAGTTGTAAAAAAAATGAAGAAAGGTCACCTTTAAAAAATTCCTGTACTAGATGCACAACTGTTTCATCTTACATGATTTCCAGTTAAGGCATGGTTTCTGATTGGGTGCTATGGATTGTTGTACGTTCCACAACTTTACTTCATCTGCACTACCTTCATTTACAAGGCCATAAATGCTCACAAATACTCTCCCTAAATTCATGAACATCTCACTGCTGGTCTGCTCTAGTTCTGCAATATAAGAATAGAATAGATTGTCTACTTAGCCAATGTTACAACATACTATATACTCTCATCTGCTCACAAAAAAACCCTCTAAATACTAAGTAGTACAATGTTTTTTTTTACAAGTGCTCAGGATGACAGCTAATGTTATACAGGTTTTCTCCATGCATTGTTCCTAAAGGTGATCTTGCCCTTTAAAGTGACATTAAACCCTCAGATTTTTTAACATAAACCAATACTGTAATGTGTGCCTTACTGTAATCCATGGTAGTTTCCCTTCTCTTTGCTGCTCTTCCTTTTAAATCCACATGTCTTCTCATGCTGGGGGAGAACTTCCCTTTTCAGCTCAGGGCCTCTTCCTGTAGTGCTGGCTCATGTTACAAACCTATACAAACCTATACACAGACACCATGTATCCATTCCAGAGACAAGGCAGTCTGCTGCAAAACAGAAGTTCTGCCCAGCATGAGAACAGATACAGATTTAAAAGGAAGAGCAGCAAAGAGAAGGGAAACAACCATGGAGTACAGTAAGGCACACATTACAGTATTGTTTTATGTTAAAAAATCTGAGGGTTTAATGTCACTTTAATTAAAATATGGACCTGCAATTTAATTTTCATTGAATATTGTATTTTCATGTTGTTACATGCTGACATAGTCTGGATGGGAGTTCTATCGATACAGTAAACTGCATTCTATTGTTTCTGAAGATACTGTGAGAACAAAAAAAAAAGAGAACATGCAAAAATTATAGCCTTACCCCAAGAGTTGCATCTTACAGTCTGGGGACATTAATACATTGCAGATAATTCTGATTGCCTTTAAATCAAGTTTATTTTCACCAAGCCTTTAAAAAAAGGAAAAACAGGGGGGTTTACATATGACTGAAAACAAATAGTTAAGACCACACTAAAAGTGAGCAAACTAAAGCTGTACTCATTAAGGAGTAGATACATAAATCCATTCATCCTTCTTTTGTGGTGCTTTTTGGAGCATTAGGCATCCCATTTACATGTGTTAACTTAATACAATGCAAAAAATTATTAGCCGTGGCACATCTTTTGTTGGAATGCCCATGGATTGTATTTAGCCTAAACTGAAAGTTCCTTGGGCTTATAGAATTTGGGAAAACTTATTAGAGTTTGGTAGCAAACTAATGATGCATTACGACTACCTGGATACATAGGAAAACTAAGGCTGCACTCAAATGGAGCCATGTTATACTGAAGGACCTCTATCCTCATCAGAACCATTTCATAAATATCCCCACAGGTATGGGATGATCATCACATAAAACAGGAAAACAGATTACTGGTAAATAAGTCACAGAGAGAGCCCGATCCTGCTGAACAGAACCATTCTCTTTCAGTTTGGTAATCTGCCGAAATATCAAGATGGGCTGAGGTGGAGGGGCAGACCTAACCTTTAATTCAAGTTATAGAAACATTTACAGGGCTATTCACTAAAGGGTGAAGAGTTTGGAGAAGGCAGGAGAAGCCAACAATCTAGGACAACATAGCTGAACTGGAAAGTGAGCTGAGTTGAAGAATTCTTCCAAATCAGCTATGTTGTCCTAGATTGTTCACTTCCCTTACCTTCTCCAAACTCTTCACCCTTAACTGAATAGCCCTGAAAATGTCAGGGTTATAATCTAATGTTAACAGCATATTGTAATAAAGGTCTCCTATATGCCAAATAACAGATTTTTTTCAATTTGAAAACCTTTACAACATGATACATTTATAGCACATAAAAATTGTTTAATATCTACTAGCACACCAATGGTTACTGTTTATTACAATTTTCTAAAGGACAATGGCCATATGGGGGAATTTGTACCCCTAATGCCTCCAAAACAGGGATCAGGCTTTTAAAACCTTTTTGAATAAACAGTGTTTTTACATAGCACATGGTTTAGAACCATACAGAGCTCCACGTAGGACAGGAACCTGTATTTTTCAGCTTTCTCTGTTTTGTTCTGAAATAAACTAATTTCCTGGCTTGTACTGACTCTGTTAAAAAGGTAGCAACAATAAAAAAGTACTGAAGCAGTGTAAAGTGAGCAAAACCACTTAGCAGAATCTAAAGGAGAGTGTTGATGCAGTGGAGGTCTAGGACACTTGAAAAGCTAAGACACCTGGGGAGGAAGTGGGAGTAGAGTGCTACATTGTGTTGATTAATATGTGGGGTTTGGCCACACTGGATGGTTAATTCATATACAGTTTCCTTACTAACCATAACTGCCTACAGCGATAAAGGTAAGGCTGCAGTTTCTCCAGATAGTGTGCATTCACATGAGTGGCGGTCAAGTCAAGTTCATCAATTTCAATATGAATGAGGTCCAAGAAATATGCCAATACATCAAAGTCGATGGGAGAGAAAACGTTATCACTAATATTAACACGTAGAACAGATGGTGTTATCCTACTGGCGAGGTCACTGTTCTGTTGCTCAAATAAACAGTGAAGCAAGTTCAGGATATATCTCCCTTTTTGGCAGTGCTCAATAATTGATCTAATCAGCCATGATGCATACATTTCGTACTTCATGTTTGCTTGGAGGTTCAGATGTTTCTGCAGCAAAGTTTGGTTTCTAACTGCTAGCAATCCTGAAACAAACCTCAGAAATAAATCCAGATATCCAGAAGTAATGTCAAGCCGTTTCTGCACATCCAAATCCATTATGTCATCTGAGGGTTCCTCTTCATGAATATAATAAAAAGCCGCAAAAAATTCTTGGATGGTAAAATGGGTAAAGGACAGTACATTCTCAACATAACCCAACTCTGGTATGCAAGTCTTGTCAAGAAAACTATTTGCAATGTCACTTGGGAGTGTGTCAAACATTTCAAAATCTGCCTCATAAAACAAAGTTTCATGCTTTAAAAGGGAATTGTATGCAATTTGTCCCAAACCAAGAATTCCTTTCAATGCCAATCCATCTTTTGTTAAAGAGACTTGATGCGTATGGTATTTTAGTAAAACTATAAGGTAGTGACAGTAGATATCTGTCATTGTCTTTGGCCTTTCAATATGAAGATTAGAACATCCTTTCAGAACACTGCAGACAATCCAGCAAAAAGCTGGGATATAACACAGTGTAAATAGAAAATGGTTATCCTTAACCACTAGAAATTGTTCACTTCCCAATTTCTTCTCTCCAAAAAATTTTTGAAAGTAATCTTCAATTTCAGTAACAGAGAAGCCAGTAATTATCACAAAGCGATCAATACATTCCACAGGAATGTAGTTAATGACTGCTGGCCTGCTCGTGAGCACAATACTGGCACTGGGGAGAAGTTCTCCCTTGATCAGACTCCCAACTAACTGAGGTAGCTCCGCTTGTTTATCTGGATCAAACACATATTCGTCTAATTCTAGCTGGTTGGAAAACTTAAACTCATCAAGTCCATCCAAGATCACAAGCAACTTATCACTGTTTTTAAAAATATCATCTAAGATCTGTGACAAATATCCATGTTTTTTTAGTATCATTTCCCGCAAAGTTATTGGCTTATTTATTAAATTGAGGTCCCTGAAAGTAAAATTCAACACATAGTCAAAATTTTGATATGATACTCTATTAGAGAAATCAAAAATTAGCTTTTGAACGAAAACTGTTTTTCCGATGCCAGCTACACCACTAACAAGGATTTTCTTAGGCAATCTCCTTTCATGAAGCTTTTCAAATAGGTGGCTCAGTGTTAGCTTATTTTCCTTCTTATTTTGGAGGTCTATACGTTGTTGGCCAAATGTCAGCAATTCATTTTTCTTAATTTCCAGGCTGTAGTGTCCGTTGACAAGGAGAAGATTCACAAAATAATCAGAGAAAGCAGATTGCTCCCCATGTCTACAGTTGTATGTCTTAAGGCAGTCATTCCTCCTTAGATGGACATCTCTGTGCTTCTGTATACTCGTTGAATATTCTGAGAAAAAGAAACATGAGAACTATTAAGGTTATGTTAAGCATACATAAGCTAATTGTACCCTTTTCTTTGTCCATGCAGAGCAAAGTTACTCGTTCTTCTATGTGCCCTGCATGACCAAAGGAAAGGCTTAATTTAAAGGCTTATACATCTGCAAACATACAATTAGAGGCAGCCACTAGGACAGGAGAATGTAATAGAGAAGAACCTGTTGCTTGTTGACTGTTGGTGGCAGTTTGGCCACTATATGTTACTCCTGTCAACTTCATTAATTAAAGCAAGAAAACAAAAAAAAAATTTAGGCATCCTTTATTGCTCAAGCAAAATTTAAAAAAAAACAGTTTCCCTTTTCTTATATTTGTTTTTTATACTGTAGAAATAACCTGGTATTTCCATGGAGAAACCCAGAATGTCTGAGACAATCTTAATTACCAATAAAGCAGCTTTGAATCTGACTAGTGGCTGACAATAATACAGTTAGTACTTCTTAGAATGAATCAGGCTTTCTGCTACATTAAGCAGGGAATATGTGGTGTGTGCCTGGTAATAGTTTCCCTGCATCATGAGCACCAAACTATAGACAAAGGGGACTGGTGCTCCCTGTATGTAGCCCAAGGTTTGAAAGACCACTGTTGCATCCTATAATTGCCAGTGGTATAATGATAGCATCACCATACTAATTCTTTTTTTATTTCACATGCCTTTACTTATATTTTTCCCAACACTTAAATGTAGAATAAGCTGGCCAGCGATAGTGACCGTAAAAAAGAGTTGGGGTAAACTATACAATTTGTAAAAGGATCTCCTAATGACAATTTGCATATAACTCTGCTTAAAGCCCACTCCTAGGCTGGGCACCATGCCCCCCTTCCTTCTGGACCCCCCCCCCCCCCC